CCCTATGCCAGCTGACATTACCTACTTTTTTAATAAATCTGAAGATTGGCTTCTTTTTGGCCTTCCACGGAACTGCAATGAGAGTTTGTCTTGAGAGGTTATCACAGATGACCCTGAAGAGACTTCTCAAGATGCTGCTTTTGAACACAGAGTTTGCTTTTCTTTACGCACAGCCCTGCATTCTTCACTCCCAGAGGGATTCCCTTCAATTCGGCTGGACTAAAAGCATCCTGCTGAACCATGACCAGTTAAGTACACAATCCATATCTCTCAGTATGAATAACCCATATAATCCTTATTTGCTAGCCTGCACATTTCTATCTGTAATGACATAAAGGTTTCCTAACCCCTATATATACTGCCACAGTGCCAAATGAATTAAGCAAAACATCAAATAGCATTGGAAGAAGACTGGTCTCTGGGGAAGTCAGAATAGCACTACTCCTTGGAGACATGGCATGAATGGCTTCTAAGACACAGCAGTGAACTTCCCCACCTAACTTGTCCTGGTGACACTGCAAAAGATAGCTTTCAAAATCAGACTATCATGACCTCATGGATAACATTCCTTGAATATGTTTTATAAATATCAACGTGGTTGTATTCCTTAGCCCCAGTCTGTGATCATGAGAAAGATACTAGCAAGCTGTTCTCAGTCTCCCCTGATTCACTCCATCCAAGAAGCATTCAAAATTTCTCCATTTCTGAAGGAAGATTTGGCAGAAAAATAGCAGAGTGAAATCAACAGGGGGAACTGAAGAAGATTATGGCTACAGGTCATTTGTTTACACAGCTTTGTTAGTGACACAACTAAGGGAAAGTTAACATAAGTTTGCCGTTTTGGAAACTAAAAGACGTTCATGCGTTCAAGGAGCGCAGGAGTCAGTGCCTGCAAAAATGCACACACTGAGGGAATGTCCATTAAAGCAATATTTTAGCTTTTCAATGTCAACTATTTTACATTGGCTGAGGGAGCGAGGCTTGGTCAGCCTGGAGAAAAGAAGGCTCCAGGGCTTAAAGAGAGCTTAAAAATAGGAAGGACACTGACTTTTTAATGGACAGATAGTGATAGGACAAGGAGAACAGTTCTAAGTAAAAAGGGGAAGTTTAGAACAGATGTCAGGAGGAAATTTTTTAGCACAGGCTGCCCAGAGCAATGTGCTCCATCCCTGGAGGTGATCCCTGGAGGTATTCAGCCTGAGGGCCCCATCCAATTGGATTGGAACTGGATGATCTCTAAGGTCCCTTTCAGCCCAATCCATTCAAGGATTCCATACAATCCCCAAAACAAGACTTCAACAACAAACTAAACCTTGCTTTGGGTATTCAGTTTCAGGAATGTTTTAAGTAAGAAGCATTTTATTTCTTAGAAAGCCTGTACAAATGGGAAACACTGTTTAGAGATCAGCTTCTAATACACATGTATACATATATATATATATATACAACTATACTACTTTTCTGACTGAACTTGTATGTTCACATCATTCTCTGTCTCCACCTCTCTCTAAAATGATGTCATAAAATGAAGTTTTTCGGAAGTTCACATGAAATTTGCTATCACAGATATATACAACCTATGAAATAGTGTCTATGAAACATCTGAAATGGACAAATACAGCACAGTTATGGAGCAGACTTTGTATAACACTGTGAAATGATCAGACAGGCCAAGACTTGTTTGTCTTTGAAAGTCATTGGGAGAGGGTAGAATTGCGATGTCTGAAAATTCATTAATGGCTCAAAGAAGATAAACAAGGGCCAGGTGTCCATGGTCCTCACCAGTAATAAGAACTAGAGACCAACAAGTAAAACTAGAAGGCAGATGGCTTACACAGACAGAAGGATGTGGTTCATTACCCAATGTGCAGTTGGGCTGTGTAGCTCCTTGCTGCAGGATGTTTTGAATTCTAGAAATGCACAAGGACTCATAAAGGAATTGGGCAAGTTCCTGAAAAAAATTCTTCAGAGGTTATTAAAACTAACGTCACTACCTCAAAAAGATTCCCTATAATGTACTGCTAAAGCATTGCAGTTTCCCCATTTTTCTGCTTTTCTCTCTGAATTGTGTCACTGTTACAGGTGGGCTAATCATGTAGTTCTTAAGCATTTTTGGCCTACTTTACAGTTTGCAATTTAGTTTTCCAGCAATATTTTGGTGTTCCTAGCAAAGTAAATTTTGCCACTGCCAACTAATTACAACAGGAATCCAACTGGCAGGCTAAGAATTCTCCATGAATAGCTAAACGGAATAATATTCCTTTTGCTTCCATGAACTCACATGCCAGAGTACAAGCAGCTGTACACGAGTGAAGTTTTATAAATGGACACATTCCTCAATGTCCATCAAGAGAACTGGAACACAAACGTGTGGACACAAGTATGTGGATCAAGAAGACACTCGTCCACCATTTTCTAGCAACTGGGGCACTGGAGAAGTGGACTGGGTGAACTGCCCATCAGCTGCTGTTCAGTCATCACACTACTTCCACGCTAGGGAAACCAGTGTCATCGCCAGAAGGCAATCATCACTCTTCATGCTAACACGAGAGCCAAGAAAACCTGCAGCTTCTCTTCACTGTGCCATGAGCAATTGACACATGATATTGACATGTTGTGGTGCCTTGGATTGGATGGAAACTTTTCACTAACATTGCAAAACTGATTCATGCCTGATAATATGAACTGATGTCCCAGTCTCAAAACAGCAGTAATTCTTAGATATTGCTAACAGGTCTGTGATATCTGGCAATACAGCAAGGTGCAGTGATTTGAGCACAGTCCGTCACTTTTGAACATTGCTGATGGTTTGCTGGAGAAAGTTGGTTCATTACCCACATCTTGTGTTGTTCCTCCAAGATCCAGGTCTTGGGGACTGAAGTCTTTCAGATAATGTTTTCCTCTCAGATCTGAGGGGAGTTTGTGAGCAACTGTTCTCAACAAAATATTTCTGTTAGTTCAGTATCTTTGTGTAAGTTTGTTTTTCTTTCTAAGAATCATGCAACCATTCATTGGCTTCTCTCTGTATCTTCCAGGGAAGAGGAAAATCACCCTATTTAAAATGCTTGGTTTTCTCCACGTAGAACAATATCAACATCAAATGGGGATGTCTACATGAAAGAGTCCTAATTTTGTCATAAATCTCTTTGTAAGACCCTTCAAATTGCTCCTGATGCACAATTCCACATTTTTGGAGCCAGCGTCATGGGGTAAAGTCTTATCAGCTGTAAATTGCTCATCCTGGCAATACTTTGGCCCAGCGACACAGCACACAGTATCACCTCTCCAGTAAAATATCTATGTGGGCAGGGCTTGCAGGCAATCCCAGCCTAGAAGGACTTGTGAACGTTAATGGCAGAGGAATTCCAGATGCTGAGGAAATCTAGAGGCCTCAGCTTGTTCACAGGAAATCCACAAGCAAGAGGGGAAAACAGGGGAGGTAAATTCCCAGGGTAATTGCCTAGACATTTTTATTAAGAGAATGTGGTATTGCATAGCTGACTTAATCAAGTCCCAGCACAGTGTGCTTGCTCAGAAGGGTTAGCTTTCACCTGGCTGATCTTCCCCTCACCACCCTGAGACCTTCAGACTTGCCAGGCTTATGGCTTAAGTCCACTTCTGGTTTAGTTTGAGATAAAACTGCCCTCCAGATCTTCAGGCAGGGCAGCGACTTGAGTATCTGAGCTCCAGAAAATGCCATGTGTTACAGGAATACATTTCAAAAGCCTTATTTTCATTCCCACACAGGAAGAAAATCAGTTTGAGAATGCTGAAGTTTGCTCATTCTCCTGGTTCAGTGTCAGTCTAGCTTTTCCCCCACACAGAAGGTGGAGAAAAGGAACCGCAAAGGCAGGATGAATTAACCCTGTTGTCTTTGCAGATCCAGGTCACATCAGTGAGCTCCTTGCCATCCATGGGATCTGCATCCAGGCTGCCATGTTAGCTACAGGCTGAAATGCAACAGAGACAGCCATGGAGAAGGAGCTCACCATGATAAACACGAAAAAATGCTTTTGTAGGGCTTCCTAGGGCATGTAATTGTACAAAGAGTCTAATGCAGTGTAATTGTTTAATTATCTCATGTGGACAGCTAACAGAGAGGAAAAGCATGGTGGGGGCAGACACCAAGTCATTCTCCTGCTCCACACTGCTCTCAGAGTGAGAACAGATCAGCATTGATACAACAGCAGCTGCTGGGAACAGCAAAGCCTTTGATTGCTACCTTCATCTTGGGCCAAGGTGCCAAAAAAATAAGGCTGGATTAAGTTGTCATTAGAGTCTGCAATTCAAGTTGTGCCCATCTGATTTTTGCTGCAGTGTGGGCACAGTTTGCCCAGGGCAAACACAACTAAATGAGTCCCAAACTTCAGGTTGAACCTCTGTCTGAGACAGACACTGGACTCCTGGACCCAAACCAGGACTGCATGTCCCACATTCAGCTCTGGCTGTTGACAGCCTTCCCAGTTACAAGCTGATGGGGGCTGGAAAATACAAAGTTCAGAAACTCTTTCAAAGCCACATTAGCAGTATGGTGTGGTGAGTAGATCCATGCTTCCTTTCCAGCACTGCATGTTTCCAGATATTGGATTGGAGAACATCAGCCCAGTGAGACCAAGGAGCTCTACTGGTCACTCAGGATCTGATCCTTGTTGAGTAGGCAGGAATAAAATGGGCTCTCCTAGGCCTGTTTTCTCCTACTTGCTCATTCTGGACTTGGGGATGGATCCCAAGAATCCAAGAGCAGAGAAGAGCTCTCCATTCCTTCACTTTGCACTGCCAAAAAATATCATAAGGGCTAAGATCCAAACCCGGAGTGGCTCTGGACCAACAAAGCCAACCCACCTGTGGCTGGACACCATTGCAAACACAGGCAAACCCTCACCCCCCTCCACCAACCAATCTTGAACAAATAATTGCTGACTGGGGCTGCTCTGTGGCCTGTGGGGAGGATCCTGCAGGGAGGGTACAAAAGTAGCACTTTTGCAGTGCTTACAGTGGTGATTTCATTGAAATACTGCACTGGGAGCCTGAGAGCAGTACGTGTTCAGTGGAATCAGGAGCAGGTAAGAACAATTTGAAGGGACAAGCCAGAAAACCTGGGAAACTGCAGCAGTGACTCTGGAGCAGGATGAAGCCCAATTAGTGATTTTCAGAAATGTTTTGCTGATAACACTGATTGCGCTTAGATGCTGAATGAACACAGACAAAAAGTGATTAAAGTCTCCTTAAGAGCTTCTAAATCTGCTCTTCAGAAATTCCATTAAGCAATCTAATTAGCTAATTCTATTAACTGATTAGGTGATATTAATTAGTTAATTTAGGGGGGAAATTTATAAAGCTATCGAAGGAAATACAGGAAAAAAAAGAGGGAGACTTTCGGCCAAGAGCTTCCTTTCTTCACCCCCACCGTGCCTTAATTAGAAATTTTAATTGGCCATATGCTGGGGGTAGGGAATCGCTAATGGACCTCTACTCATCCCATCCTCTCTCCTGCTAGTCTTACATCTTCTGGCAATTCATGGCATTCAAAACAACAGCAGAGGTTGGACTCTTGGGTATATTTTCTTCCCTATTCTTTTTGTCAAGAGCACATTGCACAGAGCTGCAGAGTATAGATTTAAGAGAGTATTGGGAAGAGATAAAAATCATGGATCTACGACACCTCTGAAGGGCTCTTTGGGGAACCGAGCAGCTTCCAAACACATTCTTCCATTTGTGGAGATGGTACTGATAAGCTGACAAGTGTTCCTCATGCCAGCTGTACAGATGGATGGCATCAGCAGGGATACCCAAGTCACCAGTACTTCCAAAGCAAAGTAGCATGCGGTTGGAGATGCAGGGCTGGAGTGGAGGCCTGTGGGTGGTGTGAAACACAGATGAGCCATGCCCCAGGCACCTTTCCAGAGGTCCTGGGTGAGGGCTCACTCTTGGCAGTTTTGCACAGCATCATCCAGATTGGAAACTTGGCCTCTGTTGCCAGAGACACCCGGATCTCAGCTCCTGACAAATGCTGGCAGGGGCACAACCAAGCTTGTGAATCTTCCTGACCTTGATTGATGGATGGGAGCTCCAAACATGCCAAAAAGACTCCCACTGTATCCTGGGTAGCCGTGATCCCAGTGTACCAGTCTGTCACCAATTACACACAGATCTGGTAGGGGGAGGCAAGAAATCTCCCAGACAGCTGCAGCAATTTCTCCTGACAGGCACACACAGAGAAAAGGCTCAGCGTGCTGCAGGCACCTCTCTAAATATCTTCTCCACCTCCACTCTCAGCACCATCCCTGCAGTTGTTCAAGAGATGTGGTTTAGTGGGCAATATTGGTGGTAGGTGGACAGTTGGACTGGATGATCTTAGAGGTTTTTTCCAATTTAATGATTCTATGATTCTATGATCCTTTTTCAAAAGACAATGATTTATGAAGGAACAGGAATGAGTAGCATCACCATGCAGCTCCCAAAGACTCCCAAAGCTGAGCTCATCTCATCAAAGCCGTTTAAGCACCCCAGCACCCCACATGCTGGCTGACTCTGATGTCCCAGGTGGTCAAGGGCAGCGGCTGAAGAGCAGCTGCAATCCCAGGGAAAGGTGCAGGTGGTTGTGGAGAAGGGAAAGCTAGAATGAGATAAAGCTCTTGTGCTTAGATCAATAAAAAATCATGAAAACCCATAAATGGGCAGAACCCTCAGGGACTCATCCAGCAGTCCTGGCAACGTGATGCAGCTGATGGGAGAGGGGCAGCCCAACTGCTTCTGAGTGCACAGAGTGACTTTTGCAGGGTGCTCACCTCCTTGCAACAGACATTATGGCCTCAGCTGCAAATATTTCATGCGCAGTGAAAATTGCATTGCTCATCTGTGGTGTAACCAAAGCAAGCCGTGGTCCTACTCCATCCCATGGACATCCTGAGGCACAGATCAGTTTGGACTTCTTGTGAAAGGTGAAGATCCAGCTCAAAAAATAAATGTTGCTTTAAGGAGAGCAGAAGCTGTGATGAAACCAGTTTCCACAGAAGGCAGTTTGGTCTAAGCTACAGCATGCAAGTTTTAACAAATATATGGCAAAGTGACCGCTTCCTCTCTCCCCTGGCTGGATGCTGAGATGGGTACCCAGATGTCAATAATCTAGGTGTTGTACTGCCTTTGGAGGGTGAATCCATGCCCAGAATGATCTAAAATGATAATTTGCTTGTCCTGTTCGCAAAAGCCTGCAAGCCATGCACATGGGAGCTCAACTACTTTGGGATATTCTTACCACTGGGCTGGGAACAAGAAAGCCCAGAGCTTCCCAGTTCCTAAGCAATTAGGTTCTTATCCTTCCAGATGCCCAGCTAACTTGGGGCCCAGGTTGACCTTGATCACATCACTGTTGACATATGCAATCACATAAGCCTCTGACGGCCATCTCACCTGCCTCCCAAGAACAACCTTCAGATGCTTACATGGAGAGCAATGTCCACCTTCAGTAACAACACGGATCCCATCTCCCTCACCTTTCTGTCAGTATAATGTCAACAACTTGGAAGCAGTAAGGCCAAGGCACACAAGAGTTTGCAAAAAGTAAATCTGGGACAACCACAAGGCTGGTCACATTGTAAGCTGCATGCATAAAAATCTCTGAGCACCAGAGGGCCAATTTCAAGCTCAAATCATCAGAACTAGGAACCAAAACTGAACTCAGCTCCATGCAGAATGCATCAAGGTGATGTTTTTTATTATTTCAACCCCAAGTTGTTATCTTTTGTCCCATTGTTCTGTTCTGTGCCTCACCCTCATCAAAGTCTGGTGATTCTTATTAATTATTTCACAGGATAAATTCAGTGTCTTTGGACCAAATGATCACATGGAGGGATGGACACAGTCACAGAGAGAATTTAGAAGATCCTTTGAAACTACTTCTTGGGATGATTTTCTCAAAGCTACTCTGATATTTTTTTAAAGAGGAGGTGAGCCATCAAGATACTTCTTACAGTCTGCTCTTATTCATGGTCTGGGGGCCTGATTAAAATCAGGGCAACTCCATACTTCTCAATCCTGTCTGCTTCTTCCTTCCTATCAAGTCTTCTGCAGAAATTAATGCTCTCCCTTCCTTACTCCTCTGAAGTCAAAGTGTTTCTTCCCTTCCCTTCCCTTCCCTTCCCTTCCCTTCCCTTTTTTCCTTTTCCCCTTCCCTATTTCCCGTCTCCTATTTCCTACTTCCTTTCCCATTTCATATTTCCTTTCTTTTTTCCTTTCCTGCATTACAACATGAGTTCCATTGAAGGATGAGAAATGCTATCATTCAAAAATGTTTCTCATATATCATTAGGTCACATTAAGAACCTGGACTGTAGATGTGAGTCCTCTGCTTGGAATTGCCTCAAATCCTGTTTTCTGTAGAAATGAGGCTGGAGGGCAGCAAGAATGCCTTGTGTTAAATGTAGGATATGAGACGTTTCTATGTTCCATACAAACATGCAAAAAAAATTATTTACTGTGAGAGTGATGAGCCCTGGGACAGGCTTCCCAGAGAGGTTTTGGAATCTCCTTCCCTGGAGATGCTCAAGACATACCTGGACATTTTCTTGTACAATTTGCTGTCAGGAGTCTGCTTGGATGGAGATTGGACTAGATGATATCCAGAGGTCCCTTCCAACCCCTATCATTCTGTGATTCTGTGATTCTATGATTAGAGATTGTAATACTATGAATAGCAAGGGAAGGATGAATATTCAACAGTTATAAGCAGGACCAATCAGAAAGACCACAATTAAATGCAAAAAGAAGCACATTTTCCCGTGCACACATCATTAACCCACGGCACTCATTGCTGCAGGATGCTGTGAACAGAGATCTAAGCAGAAACTCAACAAAATTAATGGGATTATATCGATCAGCAACTACTGAACACCTTGCTCCCGAAAGCACTCTTTAGCTCCACAAGTCCTAAGCTGCTCCAACAGCAAAGGACAGCTTTTGGGACAACCTAGGGGAGCACACAGCAACTCCCATAGCTTCACCACCACCCATGAGCCCCACAGCACCGGCTGCATCTCAGTGTGCACTTTTGCGAGGATCCCTGGGCAGCAGAAGTTGGTACTAAAGTTCAGCTGTAACAGGAGCTTTGTTTAGCGGTGTTGGGACCAGAAGGTCAGCAGCAGCTGCTCTGCCAGGGTTTAACACTTTGTTCACCTCCACGCGCTCGCCCATGCAGAATTTCCTGTTCTTCTTTGAGGAAGAACCTTCTGTTATTTTGTTAGCCCTGTTATTCATCAACTTTAACTGAGTTATAACACGGAGAAGCCAACCTGCGTGCAGCTCTGTTGCACTGTAAGACAGCAGCTAGCAGCTCTTCCTTGCTGCTTTTTTCCTAAGCAACCCCAGGCAGCACCAGGAAATTTCACAGCTTGTATTTTTTGCAAAGTTCCTCTCAAATGACGGCGGCTCTCGAGAGCCATGGGGATGCACCACTGTTAGGGTATTTAAATCAGGATGACACACAAGCACCAGAATAAAACTGCACACGGGAGGAGATAAGTGCAGCAATGCAGAGTGCTCAGCTGCTGTTTCTCAACCCAGAGCTCACCTAGCCTGAAATATTTTATTGAAGCTCTGAAAGGCTGAGGACTGCCTGAGGTTATTTATTGAGCTCTGAAAGGCTGAGGACTGAGGTTATTTAGACTGGATATAAGGAAAATGTTTTTTACAATAAAGGCGGTGAGGCACTGGCACAGGTTGCCCAGAGATGTGGTGGATGCACCATCCTTGGACACATGCAGGGTCAGGCTGGATAGGACACTGAACACCTGATGGAGCTGTGGGCGTCCCTGTTCATTGCAGGAGAGTTGAACTAGACAGCCTTTAAGAGCCCCTGCCAACTCAAATGATCCTATAATTATATGATTCTAAGACCATGTCCCTGTGACAACTCTCAAGTTATGTCCGACAATCCCCTGGGAAAAGCAGCAAGTCTATTCTGGGGACTGTATAGCAGTATGGGAAGGCTTGTGCTGCTGTGGGGACCAGTGAGTGAAATACACTGATGCACATCCCCTCTGGCTGCTCTCAGATCTAAAGGTCTCCTCCCAGCCTGCTGGCAATCCCACTTCCAGCAGCTCCAGAGAGGTCAGCCCAGCCCTGCCCCAACACACGTGCCACAGCCTCGGCTCAGCCCTGGCAGTGGCATCTCCAAGTGTGGCAGCACGCCATGTCCTGTGTGTACAGCCAAGGCATCTTGGAGAAGATAAAACTCCAGCAAACCCCAGCGGCTTCCCAAGCACTTCCCCACCCTGCCAGGCCATGGCCACATGCCTCCCTCTGAGCTGCCCTCAGGTCAACACACTGCATGCCATGGCTCTCCAGCAGTCCCTGCCTGAGTCTTCAGCAACAGTCCCAGGAGTTATGGCCCTAAATTACAGTGCTCTATTATGGTCATAGACTTTTATTCTCCAGCTTCTTTGCTGAATGGTTGCGACAATTTGACAAGAATCCTAGAGGAACCCTGGTAGTTGGAAGCTGCCACCCCTGTTTGCTGGTGTGAAACTTCCCCATGGCTTTGCTGTTTATTCTTCCCACAGCATCTTATGAAGTTGGATCAGTGTGTTCACAGAATCATAGAATCACAGAATGGATTGGCTTGGAAAGCAGCTTAAAGCCCATCCATTTCCAAGTCTCTGTCATGGGCTGGTTGCCCCCCACCAGTTCAGGGGGGGCTCCTTATCCAGCCTGGCCCTGAGCACCTCCAGGGATGGGGCACCCACAGCTCTATGAGCTGCCTGCGCCAGCGACTCACAGCCCTGTGGGTGAAAAATTTCCCTGACATCATTCAGATGTGAACATCATGTCACCTGCAGAGCTTCTCAAAATTCCAACCTGGCAATATTGCAGTCATCTCCCCATGTCAGGTCTTGGTCATTTATTTAGCAATATGCTGAAGGACTCTTAGGGCCCATTCATGAATAGATCATGGAGATTTTGGGCAGAGTTGACTTTTTGCTTTCAAAGATTTATAGAATCATTAAGGTTGGAAAAGACCTCTAGGGTCGTCAAGTTCAATTGTCCACTTACCACCAATATTGTCTACTGACCATGTCCCTCAGTACCATGTCTCTACAGTTCTGGAACACCTGTCTAGCCACTCTTTTGGAGAAGTTGTTCCTAATATCCAACCTCACCTCCCCTGGCACAGCTTGAGGCCATTCCCTCTCGTCCTATCAAAATGAAAATGTTGGTTAATGATATCCCTCAGAGGCTTGTGGAATAGGAGCCATTCTCATCTGGGCATTATGCAGAGCAAGTCACTGGTCTTCCTACTTACAGCTTTATTTCTGCCAAATCTGATTCCTATCAAGATCATTTATCGGATCAGATTTCTCACAATCAGTGTATCAGTAGAAAGAGGTAAAGTAGAGCCAGATAACAGGGGAACAGCTTCTTAGCGAGCTTCCCTGTCAATCTAGAGATACTCAAGTTATGTGACACATCCAATTGGCCATGTGGTCTATACATTCCTGTACCACAACAAGTGTCCATCTGCACACAACCAAACAGAAGAAAAAAGTATTTTACGGTCAGGTGGAAGCTGCCCATTTTTGCTGGGGCCATGAAGAGGGAAGCTGGACAATGAAGCTGGACATTCACACAATGAACGATGGAGGTGCCTCCTTCACCAGCTCCACCACGTGCAGCTTTGGCCATGGGAAAGAAGTCCCAGTGGGTCCAATGCTTTGCAACACACTGGAGCAAGCTACCTGCAGGGTGAATGGTGCTCAGCTCCAGCAGCATCACGCTGGGAGCCAGTTTTGACAAATCATCCACTGAGGGCAGCAGGAGGAGGCAGATGTTCTTATCTGATCTGAACCAGATCGCACATCTCTGGCAGTCCCTCTGGTAATGTATAATCTTGGGCCAAGCCAAGAAACCTGATCCCGTGCTGGGGCCTCCAGCTGTTACTGTGCTACAGTCATAAAACCTGCTTCGTGCACCTGCTTGTATAATCTTGTTCCACAGGGGAAACAGCCTTCCTGACCATCCCCAGAGATCACTTTTGCCCTGACAAATGAAGCCTGCAAGTCCTTGTAATTTTAGCTAATATGGTTAGCATTGGCTGCCTGCTCCTGTAGGTTTGTTAGTATGATTCCTGTATTGAAAGTATGAGTTTTGAGCATTGGAAGCCCTGCAGTGAACATGGACATCTACAGCACAATCAGGTTGTTCAGAGCCGCACGCAAGCTGACCTTCAGTGTCTCCAAGGATGGGGAGACTGAATGTAAGGACCTTTCTCTTCCTCTTAGCCCTTCTGGGCATGGTGATGATGGGTGGATGGTTGGGCTAGATGATCTTATTGGTCTTTTCCAACCTTCATGGTTCTATGTGCTCTAGGAACAGACCAGGAGAAACAACACCATTTGCGAAAGCAATAGTGACCTTTCAAGAAAACTTCAGGAAGAACAGTTGTGTAGATCCAAGTGAAGGTCCCTACAAGAGCTGTGATGTCCATGAACACACTGCATCTCCTTTCAGTGACATTCTTCATCAGAACAAAACCAGATCCTTTGTGAACCACAGCAAATCCAGAGCCAGAGGTAGATTTCTGTCCTGCTCTCACCTTTTTATTATTCTTTTCCCCTAAAATCCACTGGAAAGTTTCCACAACGCAGCAGCATAAAAGGGAACATGATACAGTAATTTCCTGTGGAGAGGAAGCTGTAAGTCAATTACCAGCTACCTTTAAGCCAGGAAAAAGTCTCAGAATTTAAGAGGAGAGACACCAATAAAATCCTATAGGGACAGACTAGGAATAAAAGAATGAATATTTTTGCACCGTTTCTTTTGAAACCACAGAAGAGCAGCGCCAGGCAGGAACAGAGTGATTCACTGAAGGCTTCCACAGCTCCAGAGATGTATCCTCCTCTAATAAGTGACAAAGGACCATCTCCCCACTCTTCTCAGTGGCTGCAGCAAAGTCAAAGCAGATGCTGAGACTGCCAGCAAACAAGGGCTGGACCTCACTGCAGCAACACAGCATGTGGGCAAGGCCTGGCTGCTACACGTCGCATCCCTTCCCATGGCTGTAGGAAGGCTGCTCCTCAGCAGAGCTTTCAGCTGGCCTGTCTGCTACAGGTTCTTCCCCTGCCCCCTCCCCCTGCAGAGGGCTGCCCTAAGTAAAATAATGAGCATCTGCTGTCTGTAGTTGGTTTCCTTTCATCCCCTCCACAGGCAGAGAGCAGCCTGGCAGGAAGAGCAGCTCCCTTGTGTTGTTCTGCATGACCCTAGGGCAAAAAGGTGTCTCGAGTCACACTCAGCAGTTCCTTTTAGCAGCAAACTGTAAATATTTGGGACAAAAGCTTTCTGGATCCACTCAAACAGGGCCTTTGGGGGTGCAGAGAGACCTGCTGCAGCAAGAGCTTCACTTAACTGTGCATCCTGGCCCCTTCCTAAACTTTCATTACATAGAGGGATGGGACCTTGCACCAAAGTCCATCCAGGAATGTTCAGTGAATCAGATCAGGTGCAGAGTCCCACAGTATCCAAATGTGCAAGCATTAACACCTTGTTAATACCTGATGCCATATACTGCTTCATTTTCCTGCCTGTGGTGCCAAGTCAAATCCTCACACAAATGAAGAATGACAAAGTCTGAAGGTTTTGCAGGAAGAGAAAGACCCTGTGCCTCCCTGCCTCCAAGTGAAACCAAAACAGGCAAAAATACATTGTCGCTTACTGAGAAGAAGACCTGGACGCTGCTCCTTACCAGAGACAGGTGGACTATCATGCTGTTGTGTTGTATAACAGGATCTGACCTCCTATACCTAGTCTTAGAACCTCAGAATCTATCATTCCTATCAAAATGGGTTAGGAGAGCAGATCCATGTTCATGTAGCCCCCCAATTCAACAGCTATCTGCAAGTCTCCCAATGAACATGAGCTAACTTATGGTGGGCTTGTAGACCTGGAACACTGCACCTTGCCTGGCTTTTTGTCTTATTTGTTCCCCTGTCCCAGTAGCTTCAAAAGATACCCCTGTAAGTGTTGGCAATGCAGCAAAATGCAGTTAGAGTGCTTCTCCTTGCAGTGCAATTCATTTCATTGTCACTGGTGCAGAGAGCATCACTGACTGAAAGAGCTTCAGATAAGCTTAATGATCAAGTAAAGCAGCTGCAATGGATATTAGTACCTGTATCAGTCAGACATATCAAAAGCAAAAGACATGGCAAAGCACAACAGCACCAGTTTCCAGCTGTGCTGAAGAGAGTAAAACAAATGGGGAATTTTTCCCCTTTGTTTTATTCAATCTCTGTCACAGCTTCATAGAACTAAAGAGTAATTTGGGTTGGCAGGGACTTCTGGAGGTCTGCAGCTCAGTGCTCTGATCAAAGCAAGTCAAGGATCAAGGTTAGCTCTAGTTGCTCAGGTCCTTACTCCATCGAGTATTTATTGTCTCCAAGGACTGAAACTTCACTCTCTGGGATCCTCTTCTTGTGCTTCAGCAGTCTCATGAGGGAGAACTTTTTCCTTATGTCCAAAAGGTTGTGCCAACTGCCTCCTCTTTTGTTGCACAACTCTTCCCTATAACCCTTATTTGGGTAAATATATCATAAAATGCCTCCCCTTTTTATCTTCTCCAGATGCCCTGAACAACTCCTTTGATCCAGAGTGAAACATTATACTTTGGTTTCTGGTAAGAAAAGCATGAATGATGAATGCTGGATTTTGGCTTTAGGGGTTGGTGTCACCTCCCCTTCCAACCTCTCCCCACACTACATTTTCCAGCTCAAGCTTTTCAGTAATTTGAGGTTGGATGTGTAAATGTTCTCCTGGGTGACCAAACGTCACATCAAACTGAATATTCACTAGAAAAATGCACACAGGGAAAAGCACTGGAAATTGGGTGCCTTTGAAAAATCTCACCCGTTCTCAGCATCCTTCCCCTCCACTCTCCTGGGTTTTAAATATTAAAACAAGGAGCTGTTGGCTTTGATACTGAAGTAGTCTAATTCTCTGCCCAAGGTATTTCCCTTCCTGGCTCTCTTCCCTTTCAACTCAGAGTGATATATTTTTTTTTAATATATATTTTTTAATTCTGCAGTATTTGCCTATTTCCAACACCTCCCCCACGTGGCACAGTGTCAAATCAGCAGCAAGCAGGCCAGCAGAAAAGCATATTCCCATTACTCTCAGCGCTACAGTGAAAGATTTTAAGACATAGCCAGTAAATTGAGTCTTCTGCAGTGTAGCTGCTAAGCAGAGGTCCTTCTTGCAAGAATATCACCATGTGCTGTGCATAACAAGGAGCCAGCAGGCTACTGCTGTTAGTGCAGATGGTTGGAGGGTCAGCCTCATGGTGCCCAGGCTTCTGGATGGTTTTCCTAGAAAGCAAAGCTACAAGTCTGGGGAGAAAATGCAAGACCACAACCAAGGTCTGAGAGCCCCATAATGCACTGTTGAGTGGGTTTGCCTCTATCAGGCTCAGTAACTAATCATGAACAGACACTAATTGTCATGAATCCTCATCCAAGTGTGTTCCTGTGAGAGTAAGGTCCACAGGCAAGTGTGAAATTTCCCCTTAGAATCTGTTTTTCCTTCACTAATTCCCTCCTGCTATTATTTTTGTCTCATATCAAAGTCTAAAAGGACTTGTCTATTTGAGAAAAGAGATAGAGGTGCGCACGAAGCATATGATCCAAGAACCATTTTCCATTCTATTAGCCCACTAAGACATAAACAAATTACTAAGAAAACACTGTAGTTTCCTTTTTCTCCAAAGCAAACTAAATCCTCACCCTGCATGGGCAATTACACAGTCAACATGTGATTAGATTATCACAAGGTGGCCATGGCCAGACCTAGCAACTGGATAAAATGGTATTTTGGGATATCCACAGATGATATTTTGGGATACAATTGCTCTTTAAAGATTTAAACTTTAGCTGGTTTCAAGAAGATAAGCACATGTAGGTCTGTGCTTTGCTCCAAGCCCTGGGATTTTATCTTTTCCTGTCTTTACTGACCCAAAAATGAAGGTCTTTCTGTACAGCTCTTACCACATCAGCACAACGCTTATACTCAGTGAAGAACAATATACATCTTTCTGCTTCAAAACGTTCAAATGCCACAATGATTTTGGGAAAGAAACTGAACATGGGAATACGGCCATGGAAGCCAAGCTCCAGAAAGAAGTATGAGCACCAGGCTTTTGCTGTGGATATCTGGTGCCCTACAACACTTTCACTACTGCTATGAAGTTCTATTTATTTCATCACAGACCATTGCTCTCTGCCTATTCTAGCTGTTGTTAATTAACAATGTCTGTCTCAGTTGCCACTATCATATTAATCTGGTTTCATGTAGTTTATAGCAGACCAAAATGTTTCCATCTTTATTACTTTTCTCCTGCTCCTTCTGCAAGAAACAAAGATAAATACTGATCAGTCTGACAAATAAATCAAACACAACTAACTGGATTATTTTCATTAAGTAAAATTTATCATGCATTCATTACATATTCCTTACTCCTTGAGAACAAAGTAGCTTTCTTGGATCATAATAAGAAAGTGTATTGCTTGCTAGGAGATATGTGGAGCATATTTCTTACCATAAGCAGTACTGTGGGCCTCTGCAAAGCAAAAGTTTATGCCTTTAAAAATCCCTGATACCACACGTTTAGTAACAAAAACTGACTATACAGCCTTGCAGTGCAGACTAACCTGTATTTTATTTAAGTCAACTTCACCAGCTTCTAGTTGGTCTGCAATCTTGACCCACAGAACTTCCTTGCAAACTGACTGAGAGTCAAGGATGTCAAGTCAAGCACCTTTAGAAAAGATGAATATCCCAGCTCACGTGAGGATGTCTCATTCCTCAGTGCCATCAATAACTCTGTCCATAGTTTGAAAACAAGACTTTTACATGGAGGTGTCTGAACATCTGTGTCTACATGTAAACTGAGTGTCTAGGCTGCCACAATATCAGCAGAGATAAGTGGCTCTTTGTGATACCAACTGATCCCTCAAGATAGTCAAAATATCGGTACATCTCTAGTACGGCAGATGGCAGATGTAATCAAAGACCTTTGGGAGACTCTTCTGTGGACACAGCTGGAGCTCATACAGAGGAACTCTGGGACATCTCAAAGACACAGGGCACCATGGTGGGAAGGGAGTCTGTAATGTGCCCAATACAGTCCAATGACTGCAGGGAACAGTTCACACCATCACCTGATGTGGGTCTCCGTTAGAGAAAGATGAATTTCTTTGCAGGCTTCACAGGCTGTATTGACTGAATTTCTACTATGATGGCAACTCAGATGCCTGGTTGCCATTTGAACACTCAACATTAAACGCCAAAATTTTGTCGTTTTAACTTCAGGCTGAACAATCTCTCATATGTACTGAATCAGGTCACATCGCCCTCAAGTGGAGAAAGGCACTATCACAATGAGCTGAGCAAGCCAGTGAGCACCAGCATGCTGTTTTGAGAATGTTAAAAAAAAAAAACCAACAACAAACACCAGACATATCTATTCAGTCCTCCAGGACTATGTGTGCCACGAAAAAGCTCAATTGTGAGAACACAAAGGTTGCAAAGCACAGCCCAGAAAAGATACAGTGGAGAAAGCCATAACTCATACTGCCAAGACACCATCATAATTCAGCCACCTCCAACACTTCCATTATGATAGCATCTCGCCAACTCAACATCAAACAAAAGGCGGCCGCAAAGCCAAGAATACAATTTACCTCTCCATGCTGTGCCTTAATCACAAGAGAAAGTATTTTCTTTATGGCCCATTGCATTTTTCCCTGTCTAACCGGCATACTGGATGAGGTTAGGGCCCTCTGCTGAAATAGGCAGAATCTTGTAAAAAGAAATCAAAATAGGAGATCAAACTGAACTCATGTGAACGGTCTGATTTCTGGCAGCTTCTAGCACCAGGGTGCTCAACTTTGCAACCTTTGGAGTCTTACTATTGTTCCTCATTGGACTTTCTCCAGGTTTGGGGAAAAAAAAAAAAAAAGAAGTAATGTGAGAACGAAAGCTCTTTTGCGTGGAAATGTACTGACTAGGCTCACTTGGGTCTAGAGAAAAATGCAATCTATAGTTTAAAAGGCAGATCTTTACAATTTGAGGGAATAACCAATGATAGTAGCAGGGGATTACCCTCCTTTGGAGGCACCACCTGAGGACAATACACTGTGTGCTCTGTTTACATGCTAGATTTGAAAGTTTCTGAATCCTTCACCTGGCTCTGGCAAGGAGTAAAGACAATTAACCATATCCAGGAAACTCAAACTTGGTGTCTCTCCAGATCACCTACCAGGAAGAAACATAACTTGCTCACACGCTGTCCTCTTCCAGCTCTGTTTCTTACCCCCATAGCAGGAGAGAAAATCCCCAGCAAAAATGATCCTATTGCTTGGATTCTCTCTATTTTCTCTTTCTCCACATGTGCTCTCCTATTAGATCCCCTTATTTATTCTATTTATTCTAGAAAGTTATATAGAAAGTCAATGTTTGGGATATAGGAAAGGTTGAGCACACTACTGAAGAGAAAGGGAATAGGTAAGATATTCCAGGTTAACAACAAACATTTCTGACTGCCTTAGATACATCAGGCAAATGGCTGAGATCAAGACAAGGTAGTTTCTGGGACAAATCTCATCCACCCAGATTTACAACATTTCCACTCCAGGATAGCCTGTGCCCATTCCGTTCCCAGACTTCCCTTGTAATCTCATCATGGAGCAACATGTGTGCAGCCCATTTTACAGCACAAGGACCTAATTACATTTTCCAGCTGTGCAGCAGACTCCCACTAAGCACAATAAAGCCTACAAATGTACATTTCTTAGCTACCACACGTGGACCTCTTGGAAGAAGTCCATGACCCCTAAGCCGATAAATGATCTGAAGGATGTCTGCACCGTTCTCACTTCCACTTGGAGGGTGTTTTATCTTTTCATGTATCAAATCTTGCCTTTCCAACCAAGTCCACTTCACATTTCCTCAGACGCCCAATTGCCCCCAGGAAAGCACCAAAAGCCAAAACTATGCTCTATTGCACCATATTGTCTTTGGCAGCAGCTGATGGTTATTTCCCTCTCCACTGCAAGAAGCCTGACAAGGAGCTTCATGTCTCTGGCAGGTGTAAAGTTACTACCACCTGCCAATGTGGAGGATCTTGAGGGGAACCCAATTCAGTCTGAACACCAAACTGCCAAACTCAGAACATGAACCCCACCAACGTGTCACTGCGACAGCCAAGAAATGATGTGGTGAAGAAGTAAAGGAGAGATTTAAGTAGAAGAAAAAAGAATCGCCCTCCAATAATCTCTTACTTATTAAACAAAAAACAAACAACAACAAATCAAAACAAAAAAAAAAAAAACCCACAATCTTGATGAGAAAAGCAGGCCCCAGGCAGCCACAGGGAGTTTATGTAAAGGAGGTTCGTATTCTATCTTCTGCAGAGTTTCATGGAGTACTTCATGGAGCATTAAGGAATTTTCTAACTTCATCTCTTCTATACAATAGGCTGTGATCCAGTCCTTCTTCAAGCCTGTTAATCTAGATTTGGAAATAGCTCTCCTCTGGAAATAAGGCAACAGTGCTGTGGCTGAGAGTAGGAGGCACTGGGGTCCCATTACTTAGGGGTACATATTGATCATGGGTGCTGGGGTGAATGCTCCCTGGAACAAAACAGTCTCTGGGATGGGGCTACACTTCAGATAATCTTTGATCTTTAGGTCAGATCTACAGTCTGACCTCTTGGTCAGGAGAAATTAAGGTGGAAGTAGACTGGAGCTCCAGGGCAGTCTGAATACAAGCAAGCACAACTATGCTGGGCATCACAGAACTGGCCACTCTTTGCATAGCAAACAGAATGGACTGAGAACAAGTTGGACCAGGTGTCATCAGGCCAATCTACAAATGGTTATCCATGAAGGCTTTGGATACCTCCATTTAAGCCTAAATCTTTTAACACGCCTTGCTATAGCACTTGGCACAATATCATCTACCAAACAATCCATGATAACCATTGAAGATAATGCAGGATATGTTTGATTAGCATATCTGAACTGTTGTGGACGGCCTTAGGAAGTCAAGGATGAGTTAGGCTGGGCAGTAGCTAAAGGACCTGAAACTGAAGCATTTGTTTTTTTTTCTGGGCAAAAGGCTATTAGAAACAGCTTGAATGTCACGGAGCCAATAGACAATTTTTTCTTTATCTGGACTGAGAAATGGTGTGACTGTAGCCATCTGCTTCAGCTAGATGAATGTATTTTATCTTATTTCTATACAAAATAGAAGAGGGACCTGCACCCTCAATTGCATTCCCGACCCCAAGTTGGCATCTATAGGATGTCCACTTGCAAATGCCCCAAATTTGCATGAAATTTAGTAACCACATTTATGCCAAATTTCTGGCTTAGAAGGCAATTTTAGTATTACCTTTAAACAGCAACGACAATGAAAAAAAAAACAAAAAAACAAAACAACCTTGTATTTGATTGCCAGTGTCTGTTTCCTTATTTTATGTGTGGGTTTATTTATATTCTACACAATATTTGCGTACCATTGCTATCTGTGTTATATATAACTTTCCCGTTCTGTATCTCCCTTGCTATATTCTTTGTTTGCCCACTGTATTGACTGACTATATTGTCAAGCAAAATTTTCCTTAATCTGTCACAATGAAAACCTAATCACTTTGGGGAAGGTTCCCTGACCTCTTGTGAACCCTGATCTCATGTCTGGGAACGAACAGTCCACTGTGAATAGAGGATACTTCTGAGCATTCAGAGGACGCTGAGACCATACTGACTCAGAATGTAGTTTGGCTGAGTTAATGTCAATAACACAAGAAAATGCATGGTATATGGACTCACAAGACAAAACTTGCTTTCTGTTACAAGAAGGCACATCACCTATGTGGATTTTCCTTTTGTTTCTTGCATCCTGCTGTGCCCACCCACAGCCAGGTGCTAACACCTCCTTGGCTTCCAGTGACTGAGGTTTGGGCTTTTGCCATGGGAAGGCTTAGGCTTGAATTCTGCATCTGATCACAATGGCCACCTTTTCGTTACACAATCCCTCTGCCAGTGACAACAAGAATATCAGTCAAGGCCTTTCCTCCCTTAATTTCCAGTAATCCCCTGAATGAGCCATCAGGGCCACCCATGCAGTGCTCCCTGGGTTTCTGCAGAAGACACTGAGTTGTGCTTCCACTCACTGTAGGTGTGAGTTCAAAAGCAAATCAGCCTTGCTGACTCAGAGGCCCCACTATGGCTCTTTGCCATACTCTGCTGCGCTCCAGATGAGTCACCCCATGGGTGAGTAATACGTTGCATCTGCAGTGCATATTTATGGCAGTTTTGCATTGACCAAGTCAGCAGGGAAATTGTTTGTGTAGAGTAACCATGGAGAGAA